AGCATACACCCCGAAAGTTTTACATAAAAATATATATGAATATAATGTGAATGAAAATTATAAGTATTATTTTTAATACCCACTCAAAGGTCAGTTTTTCTTCAAAATTCCTCCACGATGGCATCTCTCTCTTTAGGCAGATAGCCCTTGCATGCGTTACTCTATTTAATAAAAACTTAATCTGACCTATGTGCCTAATTACAAATATTTTAACATACATAATTTTATATTTACATTTAGCCATCAAGTTTCAAACTTTTCAAATCTTCTAGAAAATAAATTTTGGCAGATCTCTTTTTAGCAATTTTCTTAAAATCTATATTTTTGTAGTGCAACAGCTTAGAATTTTATAAAAAAACAAATTCATAATCAAAATCGATGTTGTTAGTTATCGAAAAATAAGCAAGATTTTTGCGTAAATGTCAGTAAACTATACAAACTGCTATTATCCATCACACTATGAATGTTTCTTTCATGCGAGAGTGTCCCTTTTTCGATTTCTATGGAACTGTCGTGTGTCGAAATACTATCAGAATCTTGTCAAGCGAGCTTCTGAATGTAAACAAAGAACACCCCGTCTGGTGACCCAAGCGTCAAAGCAGTGCTTCACTTCTAGCGCGGAATGGCCCCTCCTCCCTTTCCTACCTCCATGAGCTGTTGCGAGGGTGGGAGGAGAAAGCGTAAACAGAGGTGGGCTCTTTAAATTCGCTGCGGCGTGCTAATGAAAACTTTCGTGTGTCTAATTTATATCCAATTCCTTTTTTATTCAATTTTTTCCCTCTATTATGGGCCCACCAGTGGCCGAGTGGTAAAGTTGCTTAACACTGGTAGTTCGGGCCGAGGTTCGAATCCCGCAAACGGGCTGGCTGCATGGGCGTTTTTGTGGTTTTCCCCATGTGTAACGTGTATACGAGCCCTTTTACCTTAGAAAGTCCTCCTCGAAGGCATCCCTCCCCTTAGGCAGATAGACCTAGTGTGCTTTCCCATAATTAAATAAACCAACCCTCTACTATGTATGGTCTTTTAGGGTTACGTTTTGCATTGCCTTCAGATATATTTCCGTTTCTTCTCTTTTTATTTAGGAAAGCCTCACCTCCAGTCTATTATGGTGGGAAGGCACTATTTATCAGAGGAAGAATACCCTCGTATGGTTAGTGAACCATTTACTAACGCAAATGAAAGTGATGATTCATTTTCTAAAGAGTTAGAAAGTGATACTTTTTCTAAGAGTTAGAAAGTGATACTTTTTCTAAGAGTTAGAAAGTGATACTTCTCCGTGCTTCGAGATTTACCACACTCAATCTTCATTTTAAATTTTGTTACTTCTTACTGTAAATAGTCTTTATTGTGTTGGGAACAACTCTTATATGCGCCCTCAAGTCGCCAAACATTTTTGGCAAAAAACTTCACGGTGCCATATCACTATCTAAATTTTTTACCTACATTTCGAACTTTAAGCCTAAAATGTCTCCGAAAACGTGGTTTTCACAAATGCAAAAACCCTGTTTTGAACACCCAATTTAAGCTAAAAATCTGAAACAAAAACAAAAAATTTAAATAGCAAAAATGTAAAGTTTCTAACAAAAAATATTTGACAAGAATAAATGTACACAGTGATGTGTTTCAACTTTAAAAACCATCTACGAATTGCTCAATCTAGGCACTACGCACTAATGAATTTAAAAAAAAACTAAACTAAATTTCAATTAATTAAAAAAAAGCAACAATAATGACAAAAATTCATACTAAAAAACAATGAACATAACATTCTACAAAATAAGAACAAGAATAAAAGGCTAATCTTTGGAATATGGTAACAGGTAGTTTGGCGACATTTTGGTAAGGCGATAAAGGTTACTAGCTAGGACTTTAGCTGTGTACGTGGATAAAGTCAAGAGTGTGCGCAATGCCGTTTTTGTGCAATTCTGGGATATTTTTTTAAAGTGAAAAATAGGTCGACGTGTACATGGATGACACCATGTATGTGCAATTCTTAAAAACGCGGCAAGCAGTTTGCGATTCTGCACTTTCTCCCAATTTTGCACCTAATCTTCATCATGATTAAGCATTTTTGTTCCAGAAAAGTTCTAGTATAAGCGTAATTCTGCTAGTAGATTGTTGGAAAAAATTTTGAGTTTAAAAATAAAAAAAAAAAAAAATAGCCTTGGTTGATCTTTAGATTATGGTAACTTGGCGATTTTTTGGCGAAAATTTGGCGACCAACTCTCCTACAGCAACCATCTATTTTTTTTTTTCCCGCCGCCATTTTCTCTTCACGAAGTAAAGACATGTTTCTTTTCTTTTTATCTACTGAACACTTCTTCCAACAATCTACTAGCCGAATTTCACTTATGCTAGAAATTTTATCTAACAAAACTGCTTAATCATGACAAATATTCACTGCAAAATTGGGAAAAAGTGCACAATACCATACTCCTTACACGTTTTTCAAAATAACACATACACATAAACCATGTACACGTCGACTTATTTTTACTTAAAAAAACATCCCAGAATTACACAAAATGGCATTGCGCACACTCTTCACTATATCCATGTACACTGCTTTTTCTCATAAATTAGAAAAATTTCACGAAAATACATGACAATTTTCTGAATCTTTAAACCCGGTAAAAAGAACATATATGAAATTACCTGATCGCGAAAAAGTATATACCCTTTCCAATATGAACATTTCCACATATAAAATAACCAAAAACTTTTACCTTTAAATCATCTATTATATATAAACGTCACCAACAATTCATACCGCAAGCATTACAATACTTAGTGTCAAATTTAAATTATTTCCATGCACGTTTACTTCAACTAAAACGTATACCCAAATTCCTACAAACATAAAATTCACAAAATAACTATCATTTAATTAAAATATCACTAAACCATGTACACGTCGACTTATTTTTACTTAAAAAAAAAATCCCAGAACTGCACAAAAATGGCATTGCGCACACTCTTCACCATATCCATGTACACTACTTTTTTCTCACAAATTAGAAAAATTTCACGAAAATGCATGACAATTTTCTGAATCTTTAAACCCGTTAAAAAGAACATACATGAAATTACCTAATAACGAAAAAGTATATGCCCTTTCCAAATATGAACATTTCCACATATAAAATAAATAAAATATCCAAAAACTTTTACCTCTAATTATCTATTATATTATAAACGTCACCAACGAATTCATATCGCAAACATTACAATACTTAGTGTCAAATATTTAAATTATTTCCATGCACGTTTACTTCAACTAAAACATATACCAAATTCCTACAAACATAAAATTCAACAAAATAACTATCATTTAATTAAAATATAATTAAATTCAAAAACCTACTTAAAATATAAATAATCACATATATTAAATTAATAAAAATTAGCTTACAATCCTAATTACTTTAAACTAAATCATTGTTAATAACAATTTTCCCAATAATACCAATTCACTTTACTTCCACCTTACATTTAGAACAATGCATAAAATAATATCCTCAAAATTAAAAATACTAACTTACCTAATCTTCTTCAGAATTTTGCTTACGTGGTGGATACACTTTTATTAATGGATTCAATAAAATTATTGAAAGATTTTTTCTGCGAATTTTTCCTCTACACTTCCTTTGCTAAAAAAAAGCAAAATTCTCTTTATCACAATGCTACGGAATGGCGCTTTTTATAGCACTACCACGTGCCCTCTGAAACTGGTATGTGCACCTGTTTCAGGATCTTTAAAATAATTTTTATGGTTCACAGCAAGATGTTTAAAACCTTCATCCTCCAAACATTCGTATGATTTCCAGCAATCAGAAATAATTATAGTACCCAGTAGAATATATTCTTTAATAAAACTTAATAAACAATCTTTACTTCTATCTCGCACAACCTTAAAAAAACACTTATTACTTCCCCTTTTCAATCTCCACCGAATACCCATTTTCCTTCCACTCTCCTACCTCTCAGATACTTGGGTTTCCCAAACTTACTTTCAATTTCCACAAACATTCATACCACCACAACCCATATCATTTTGCAAAATTCAACGCCTACTTCCTACAAAAAGAATTCCACCTGCACCTACTGCTAATTTCTAAATCGGAAATACTAGTAGTCAACTGGCAGTCGATTCACCCAGTAGTAAGAAATAAATAAAATTTCACCCATACTCAAACGACTTTCAGCAAACCACGGTACCCTTCCTTGCACTCCGCTTCACAAAATGTCCATTTTCACTAGATTTCTTGCACCGCCATTCAAACTTATCAGTATATCCTTCCTTACTTTCACACAATCTCATTTCATTCCCACATTTGGACATTCATACTATCCGCAATTAAACCTACACTCATGCACCATTCAACCAATTCTTTTGAATTATCACACAAACGCATTAAAAATCTAGAATTCACTTTAGACACGCCATACAATCCCAAAATTATTCAACCCTACTTCACACAACACACAATGAAGTTTAATACAAAATAATATACAGCCACAGATATTTTTCCAAATTCCCCCCTTTTCCGATTAAAGAACCGTAATTCGTCCATTAATATCACATGATCTCTCATTTCCCTCACACAAAATAATGCGTAATCGAAACTGAGTACTGCTCACATTATTACCAAAGTCCTAGGCAGTAACCTTTATCGCCTCCAAAATGTCGCGAAACTACCAGTTACCATATTCCAAAGATCAGCCGATCTAATATTAGGAAAAATCCCAATTCCGGAATCGCCGAATTCCCGATGAGTCCGGATCTCGGACTTCGTACTGTAATTGTAAGCGTTAAACAGTCGGTAGATTAACGAAACGATAATGATGATACAGTATATTCATAAAAAATTACGATCAACACTCGGAAATTTATACAGCATACAATTCCTTGATCGCACAATTTACCAATATAAAATCTATAAATACTGCACACTGAGGTTTCTGAGTTTTTAAGATACTAGCTCTATAAAAAAGGATATCATAAACTTCTCTTTCATCTACGGGTAGATCTGTATTTCTGAAATCCTCTTCAGTTAACATTCTGTCTGGCATCCTGTCGTGCATTGTCGGATATGCGTTTTGCAACATAGTTATATCCATACTTGCCAAATTAACTACTACACATAAAAAATTATAACGTTAAGCAAAGTGGTTCGTAAGTTACTAATTTGAACATCACACGAACTGAAAAAATGAGTACAGCATCAGCATTAAGTCTTTTTGCCTGCTTGCGGAAATCACTTGGTACAATAAAGGAGGTTATTTTAACCTCCATGCATAAAATCAAGAAACCTTTTCTTTCTATAGACCCCACCTATTAATTTAGCAACATTTATTTTTATTTTATTTTGTTCCATCTTTTCTTCCTGGCCTTTCGAACACGTATAATATGTACGAAGTTCCTTTTTTACTCTCCTCTTCGAAGACGAAATTGTCCCCTTTGCACCTAAGCTTGTTTTTTCGCCCATCGCCGATGAAAGATTTTCCGGGTGCAAAACAAGACATCTGTCTACTTCGTCTGTCTCAAAGAGGTTAGAATAGAAGGAGGGAAGGTTCAACTCAAAAGGTGAAGCTTGGCGGCCATGTTACTGTTATCGCTGTGACTTGTGCAAGGAAGTCCGTAATTACAATTTTTTTCTTCTTTCTTTTTGAAGCATGTCAGCTTGTGTTTGTATTGATGCACAAACAGATTTTCGAAAAAGATTCCTGGATTACTTTTCCGCGTAAGTATTGATTTTCTTTTTTTTTTTATGTAATAGTTAGGTAAAAAATATTACACAATGTCATTTGTTTTCTTTCCAGATGTAAAAAAAGGACTTAATAATAATCAAAATATGTTAATACATTTTAATGTTTGTTTATAGCTGGCATCTTTGTTCCTTAACATACAATGATGTATGCTAGATTTAAACTGTAAATTTGAACTTTTTAGGTAATTCGTTTGATAATTTCATGAAAAAAAGACACCAATTGTTACTATTTTATGAATTGTAAAGGGTTAAACAAAGTAATGCTTTTCTTTATGTATTAATTTATTATTTTTAAGTTTTGTGAACTGTTAGGAATATAATTTGTGCATTTGATTTTTCTGTTGTTAAAAATTTTTTTTTTGCATAAATTTACAAATTTGTGGGAAGTATAGCGATAAAAGTAAGTAAATATTTACACAACTGAACATGTGGGAAAGATGTATCCAAAATATAGTATAGGTATATTTTCTGTAATTCAGCTTAATTAAGGCAATTTCTTGAGATTCATAAATATGAAACGCGCATAAAACTGAAATCACTGAATTCACATAAAGCTGTTTTATTTTATTAATATTTATTTCTTGTTGTTATAAGTTTGTTGTTGTGAAAAGAATCTATTTAAAACTTTCATTTAAAAAAATGCAACTTGTGACTATTTTTTTAGAAAATTATCTGCTATTAATTTCAGGTTAAAATTATTTTAAATGATTCTTTAATAGATTACAATATTGTGAATAATCAGAAATATCACTTCTTAAGAAAAATTGGAAAGTACACCCAACAGGTTGCTAATAAAACCTAACAATTCTTGAAATATGCAGAAACATTATTTTTAAAGGCTTTAATGTTATGCACATGCATTTAGATTTCGAAGTATTTCTTAATGATTTCTGTACGTAGTTAAATTACGGGATATCATCTTTAAACTTTAAAACAAAAACTAACAATAGCGAAGCCTTTCATTAAATTTTACATATTTTTAGTGGAAAATACATGCACGGAACAGCTTAAAAACACGTACTTTTCATGCCGTAATGCAATATTTGAAGTTACAAATATGGACGCCGCTTGTTCGGTGAAGTTTCATTCCCTGATAGTGGAGGAAACTGCGAACCCTCCCTCCTTCTATTTTAACCTCCTTGGTCTGTCTTCGTGTTCGGTCGTCACCGCGATCATTCGGATTCTTCCTCTGCAAATATCATCAATATCAATTTAATGTGTTGTTGTAATTGCTGTAAATAAAGTTTTTTTAATTTAAAATCAACCTATATCTTCATATCTGCATCAGGTAAACTTCACAGAAAAGGCTAGCCAAGCCTCTCTCTATATATATATTGTTACATTCTACTCAATACGATGCGACAATTGGTTACCTGGACGTGATCATGTTAGAGCAACATGCGATTGGATAATTTTTGGGGCATCGAGTTGTTTTGTGCTATTTTTTACGTGTTTCTTCCACAAAATGAATATTATATGTGCGCATTCGTCAAGTGGGTGAGTTTATTTTTCTTATGTATTTCTCATGCTGTAGATCACTTGAATCTAAGTCCTAAGAGAAATTATTTAGTGCTCTTTTTATGTATTTAGTGCTTGTTCACGTGTACTGCAACTGCATCATTTTAGTTTCGTCTGTGTTTATTTATATGTATTATTGAAATTTCCACTAGTAACGAGAAGCTACCCCAGTTGGCACAGATTGCAGATGAAATTCATGATGTTCTGCAGCCACAAGCAATCAATCAAGTTCAGCATTCCAGTGTTGATATTTCATCGCTCCAGCAACAAATTCTGCAATTATTATTGCAGGTCGCAACCCTGCAGACATGATTTAAGTATCACCCGCGAGGCTGATCAAAGTCCCGGAACGGACATAATAGGGACTATAGTTCGACCGTCTCAACCGCAACCTTGGTTGGCATTCTGCCAAAACACATAGACTCGCCCAAAAGGGGTGGTATTACTTGCTGCGACGTGAAAGGTCTTCTCTTCTCCGGAAAATAGCTATGCTGGAGAGAAAGAAAGTGCCCATCCTTCCACCCTATTTTAAGAATAATTTGGTCCGAATGGCACATGCGTGTTTGCGCTCATGGTCGCGGATGAGGCGGTCGAACTATACCAACGCACGCAGTCCAGTAATCAAAAAGAAATATGTTTCTATAGCTCCCGATTTGGTGATAAAGAGCGTAAGTATTTTGGATTTGGTGATAAAGCGCGTAAATTACTACTCTATGCGCAAAACACTAAAAGACTCCATGCACATTCTAGCAGACCTCTTTAAACTGAGTGGGCTTTCACTCGAAGCTACGAGTGACAGCAGCCAGTGCCTTAGTCGATTATTTGTAACTGATACATTGCTTGACAGTCGCTTTGTTGTTGATACAGATGCGGACATTTCAGACGCTCTTCTCTCTCTCCGAATCGAAACGGCCGCCGGGAAAATTAAACTTATTTGTAGCTAATATATCAAAAATCGCAACATTTGGAGAATATTAATATTTTTAGACTTACGTTTGCGTAACAAATTTCAATAGCCATTTGTCATAGCCTGGTTTCGCACCCAATAATTGTTGCTGACTTTCTGGAAAAATTTTGTCTTTTGTTCGACATTAAAAATCAGCGCTTGCTCTACTTAATTACACAGTTGTCCGCTCTAGGCGGTACTGGAAATGCCTTTGACATTGGAAATGCCAACCCAAAATATAATTTTGGAATTAAATTAACTTCCGGTAATTTCTCTTTCCACAAGCTACTTAAGCACTAACCTAACGTCATCCGCTCGGTAACCCGCAAACCAACTTCTGACAACGATATTGTACATCACATAGAGACCACTGGACCACCAATGCTTGCCAGAGCAAGGTGGTTGTCTCCTGAGAAATTAAGATCCTCAAAAGAAGAATTTAAACATATGCCTGAAAATATAATTTTTCGGCCCTCAACAAGTTCATGGGCAAGTCCCCTGCACATGGTCTCTTAAAAAAAAGGGCGTGCAGTTACTTTGCTTGACGGATATCCGGTTCCTCATATTCAAGACTGCATGCAAGTTTTTCGAAGGCAAAAATGTTTTTAAGCGTAACATTTAACTCATTATTATCATCATATCCCAGCCAATCCACCTGATATATCAAAAACTGCGGTCATATCACCTTTTGGATTGTTCGACTTTCGGGTTGTGTAACGCCGCACAAATGTTTCAGTGGTAACGTTTCCGGCTAGCTCTAAAAACATTTATTAACAAAGCACGCAGAAACGAGTAAAAATAAAATATACATAAAAATTAAACATATACCAACGGAACATTAAACATTCGAATTATAGAGACATCTAATAATCTAGTAACCTAACGTCATAGCGGTTGGAGGTCGACTGTCTGAGATTGTTCCACTTCACCACTAGATGGCGTACAATAAAATAGTTCGGTTACGGCTAAACAGTTCTGTTACAGTTTAAAGTATAGCTACTGATTATATTGCGTGATATTGTGATATTGTACGAATATCTCTGAGGAAAAATTCAGCGTTTTGTTATATTTTTTTTGATCAGAATAAATTTTATTAACCTTTTATTGGACTTATGCATTCAGTCTATTACGAAACAGTACGCACGCAACAGTACATTTAATTATTTAATATGTCAATATTTTTAAGTGAGCATCTTATTATTTAATCTGTAACTATTTTTGATTGAGTTTATTATTTATTTTAATAGCTATACCCTTTCCTTAAAATTTAAAAAGCTAGGATTCGAACCTACTCACTCTGGTATAGAAGTCGGGCATGTTGGTAATGGATTTTTGGCGCAAAACACTAAAAGCCATATTAGCCAAACACAGGACTCATACTTTTACACACAATTAAGCAATAAGTGCACATATTAAATAAAAGGCAAGTTTGAAACAACAACACACTTATAAAATCAACAGTAGTAGTAAAATGGTGAATGGGGAGATAAACTGTTAATTAAGACTGAGATAATGATATATGCAGTATAGATGTAAAATCATAAAACATGAGATACATTAAAATACATAGCATTAAAACACCAACATGAAATCTCAACACAAAATCAAATTAAATGAGAGAAAACTGTCTCTTTCAGGTAGTGAAACGAATTGCGATTGACCTTTCTTCCGATCAAACTGTTGAGAGGCAAATCACAGCTATTAAACACTTACACTGTTGAGAGGCAAATCACAGCTTTTAAACGAAGATTATTATAATATGGCACTCTATTAAAATGTGATGGACTGATAGACAAGCATTGCAATTTGAAACAAACAGGCTCATTCTCAACTTTCATAAGGTAGTTATGTCTCACTCTAGTATGACCAGTTCTAAGGCGAGTAAAAAAAACTTCCTACTTACGGTTTCTAATATAACCCCAATACACTATTCTAGGCTTCACTCTTCTCAACTTGTTGCATGAATGAAAGTCCCAAAATTGCTGCCATTTTTTTAGGATCTTCCT